TTATTTTGGTTGCATTGAGTTGTAGTTGGTTTTCTGTGGTCCATGTGTGTATGGTTTGTAGGTATGGGAGAAGGACTTGTGCAGCAGTGTTATAGTCTCATCTCCTGTCTTGTCTCATGCCTCGTCATGTGCCTTATCTCTTGTCTCGTGCCTTGTCTCGTGCTTGTCTCATGTCTTGTCTCATGCTTGTCTTATGCCTCGTCTCTCATCTCCTCGTCTCATGTCCAATCTCATGTCTCGTCTCGCGTCTCATCTCACATCTCGTCTTATGCCTCATCTCATGCTTGTCTCAAGTCTTGTCTCATTGTAACCGGGCGCACTAGCGGGTGGAACAAACTCGTTCACTTACTGAAAATTACTCTTATAGTGCTTGTCGCAGAAAACGGGAATTAATGAATTACTTAAGGATTTGCTTTTATTTAAGTATTTATTTTCATTTATTAAAAGAAAAGCCAATATGTTAAAATTTTATACAATAAGAAATAGTTTGCCAAACTCATAATCAAAACCGAATCGATAACCATTCAAATANAATGAATTAAGGGATATATTATGGAGTTAAAACAGTCAAAGGCAAATGCAAGTGCAAAAGTGATTTGAGATAACAATTAAAGTAATTATTGCAACACAAGCATCACACTAAAGATTAATCAAACTGACAGATATGAAAAGAACCATAATAACAATAAATGACAATAGAATGAATAAGAACCAAAATGCATAAAACACTCAGCCTAAAATATGTACATTAGACATAATTGATAATTAAATAGTTGATAATTAAAGTGCAGACTAAACAGCCAACTCACCAACTGGTGATGGCGGTGCTAGTTTCAGAACATTCTGCTAACTCGAGACAAGTTTATTTGGCATGCATTAATATAGGTTTATGGGTCGTTCAATACCTGAAACGAGACATAAAAACATAGGGCAACATTACACACAAATGCATGAAATATGACAAATAATAACCATGTTTGCAATAAGTGAAAACAATAAATAAATGAAATCGATAATAGACATTTGTGAGCTGAAACACATGAGCTTGGTCTGCCCTAAGATTACCCCCGGTAACATCATGTCTCGTCTCCTCGTCTCATGTCCTATCTCATGTCTTGTCTTGTGTCTCATCTCCTTGTCTCATGTCCAATTTCAGTCATGTCTTGTCTCATGTCTCATCTTGCATCTCATCTCACATCTTGTCTCATGCTTGTCTCAAGTCTTGTCTCAAGTCTTGTCTCAAGTCTTGTCTCATGTCTTGTCTCCTCATCTCATGTCTAATCTCATGTCTCCTCTTATGTCTCATCTCATATCTCAGTCTCATGTCTCATCCCATGTCTCATTCTTATGTCTCGTCCCATGTCTCATCCATATCTTGTCTCATGCCTTGTCTCATCTCATCTCATGTCTCATCCCATGTCATAGTCTCGTGTCTCATCCCATGTCTCATCACATATCATGTCTCATGCCTTGTCTCATGTCCCCTCTCATGTCTTGTCTCATCTCATGTCTCAGTCTCATGTCACATCTCATGTATTGTCTCATGTCTTAGTCTCATTTCTCGTCCCATGTCTCATCTCATATCTTGTCTCATGTCCCCTCTCATGTCTCGTCTCATGTCTCAGTCTCGGCAGTAGTTCGGACCCAGCGTATCTCAGGCTCACTGACTCACGACTGAACTGAACTGCGCAACATGACATGGTAGAAAAACTGTCAGAATGGCTGCAAAGCTCTGAAATTTTGAGAGCATGCTCTAAAAACTATGATCTTGCTTTCAAATTATCTATTTCTTGAAAAAAATGGTGTCGTCATAGTTCAAGTTTTTATAGTTCGTTTCCAAACACAAGTCAATCAAATTAAGCAAACATTTGGGTGGAACTTTCAAAATTAAATACCTACGCGCGCTGATGCGGAAAGTGGCTGTCCACCATTTTGCCAGCATTGTTTACATGTGCCTACTTTGTGCACATACCTAAATTATGGAAACAGTAATTATTTTTTGCTGAAAAAATGGCTGCTGAAATGCATAATCAGCATAAATTCAGTGAATTTATAATCCAATCTAGAATATTGAGCAGATTTGTCAATCAGCATTGCATAGAAGACAATTACTGTCAATGCCACTAAAGTCACCACACTACAAGAAAAGGAAATATTTATTAAAATGGAACAAAAATGAACATTTCGGTATCATAGGAAAATACTAGAACATTGTTATGGGCTGTCAATCTTACTGCTGGAGAGTGGTGGTTACCTTGATCCCACTTGGGGAAGTAACGCTCCCCCAGTTCCGAGTTAATGTAGAGTTGTTTTTAGAATCTTGAAATTCATGGTAAACATCAATATTTGTGTTATCAGTGCTCTCCATCTCATTCTCTTTGCCCTTTTTGCAGACCATTATTTCATGTGTCAGTGGTGATTAAAATTCCAAATCTCCAATCCGCCATTATATCATACTCACACTACTGCCTGTGGTTGAAGCATCTTCAAGTACTTCATAAGCAACCCATGCCCCGTTTGCCCGGTTGTCCGGTAGTCAGTTTTTCCGGTTGTACAGTTGCCTGGTTGCTAGTTGTCCGGTAGCCTGTTTGCCTAGTTATACAGTTATCTGGTTACCCAGTTCCCCAGTTAATGGCTAAACAGTCATCCAGTAGTTGGTTAGGTTTTTGATTTAGAGTTCTCTCTTAGGTTTAAATTTTAAGTCCCTTTATAATGAAGTTTGTATTAGAATTAAATAAAGTTGAACAAAAAAGAGAAAAACACCTGGTGGACAGGGATGGCTATAAGGGGAGTTGAGAGGCCATCTTTTATTTAACCCTTTAGATTTTAAAGAACCTTGAATACCTTCCCTTGCTTAACTTATAAAGACGACCCATTACAACATTTATTAATATTGCTTAAAGACAGTATAATGCATTTCCTACAATTCATTTATAAAATTCTGCAAGCAAAACAAATTTTTTTCCTCCTCCTGTCAGAACCGCTTTTGGGTGATGTTCTACTACCGGGAAAATGTTTTCCTTACTAACCTGGGGTCATTCCAAGTCTAAATGCAGTAAAAAGAGGTTCATATTGCTTGTACTCTAAATTTTAGAGACATTGTAATATTCTAATTACTTTATTCTAAATATACCTGGCGACCTAAGTGCATACAAATTTGGGATAAATGGCAAGGTTTGTGTAGGACATTTGCTTCATGAGACAAGACATTAAGGATACTTTTTGTTGCTAATTTATACCAACAATTCAATAGATGTGTTTGAGTGTTGCCAAAATAATATAAAAATAATTTCTCATTCATGTTTGTTCCCACATAGTTTAGCAATTAGGTTTTAAAAATGTTGTAAAATGACTTCCAAAGTCCTGCACGACACTCTTGCATTGATCGAAGTTAGGCGAACAAAGCATATAGCGCTGCATCAGTGCATGGTTTCTGAGCTTGTTTGAATAAGCCTGACACAAGTCGTCTGTCTTACAAATAATCTTAATTCATCTAGCATGAATCTTTCGGCTCTAAAAATGGCAAGAATGCTCTAGTTTGGTTTGGAAAGTAGATATAATATTAAGATATTAAAATGAAATATCATAATTATTGTTATATTTAGGGTTCATACCAGTCATGGAAAACCTGGAAAGTCATGGAATTTGCAAATAAAAGTGTGTTACTGTAAAAGTCGTGTTACTGTTTGTGCAGTCTCTTGTTTCTTGCATTCTGATTGGCATGCATGAAATAAGAGATCATGCCACAGTCTCTCGTTTCATGTGTTCTGATTGGTTCTAAAATCACGTGACCATCAGTCACATGATTGGAGAATCAATCACGTGAGCTCAATCACCAGGCTCAGTTGCATTCAACAACTGTTTGATCTGCAGTGGCAGCATTTGATCTGCAGTGGCACCTTTGACGAGTCATGAACAGCTATGCATTTGCATGTTTGCTATTTATCAACTGTAGGAGATGATAGAATAGGCACGGTTAGTCTTTCAGTCATGCTAAACCTGTCATATACAAGTCTTGGAAAATTATATTGTTGGTCATGGAAAAGTCATGGAAATTTTTTTTTCTGAATACCATTATGAACCATGTATATTTTATACATTCTATACCTGAAACTTGTGAGTATTCACTGTTCAGACCATAATTGGTTTGTTGGAAGATCTCCACTTAAATCATAAATATTGCCATAACATCTTACTTTATTATGAAGACAATTTGGCACGTTATAACACATTAATATTGATTAAATTTAAGTTATTTCATCATTTCATGCTGTTAGCAAGCTATCAGATATGACAGCTATTACTAGTTTGTCAACCAAAGTATTTTGGACATGGTAGTTTTTGGTCAAGTATGGTACTGAATAATGTAATTTGAAATTTCTTGGAACTAAGTATAAATGTGCGAGCTGCATAATTTTGAACTGAACCAAAATACATGAATCTGGAGCTGCAATTTTATTTAAGCATAGTATTATTTCAATGTTGGTTGAAGATTTTGCACATAAATAGTGGCTTGGAAAATAAATTCATTGCTTGTAAATTATATATGAACTGTCAAAAAACATTTTTAGCAACTTAGAATTCCTTATTTCTAAGTTTATGCAAGTTTCAGGCTGCAAGATATGACCAAAAGGCATTCCAATTTTTCAGAAATTAACAGTCGGCAATGACAATCTAGGTTCAAAGGCTTTATATTGAAATTTAATATTTGATGCTAGAGTTTTGACTAGTTAATATTACTGTATTGCAAAAATTTATTCTTCTGAGGTTATTCGAGATGAAATTAATTTCAAAATGTGTCAAGATGCATATAAATGTCTATAAATATTTCATGGCAATGTTCATATAAGAAAACTTTGTGATCAAGCATTTAGATATTTACCTACCTATTTTTTATTTTTTTAGTGTTTGAAATGAAATGAAAAACCAAAATTCTCTGAAATTTTCTTTGTATGTTTTAAAAATAAAGTTGCATATTTTCTTGTAATATGTAAAAAATATTTTTAATTGCTTGATTAACTTATGCATTGATGAAAAATCCATTTTACAGAGTAGCATCCCTGCCCAAGGATCTCCCTGCCATTAATTGGACCCAGTACGAGGGTCGTGTGAGCGTCCCCAACATGGTGGCTGAGTTCCAGAAGCAGTACCAAGCTCTCACTGTGCCATACCCTAAGGATGTTTACACATCAAAAATTGACGAGCAGGAGAAAGCTACTGTATGCTAACAATTATCAATTCCAGTCAATGCTGTTTTACAATCCACTCGACTGGATTGTGAAATAGTTTGAGATAATTTCTGAACATTTTATAGATGAGCTAATTTCTGACCATTTTATAAATGAGATAATTTCTAAACATTTTATAGACAAGATTATGAAATGCTTCAATTAATGCTAATCATGTCCTTCAGATGATAGCTGTAGAGGAATTTGTGAAGAAAATGCAAGCCTCAGTTGTAAGTATGAAGGCTGAGCTTGCCAAAGTGGAAGCAATGATGCCAATCACAGAGATGAACTTGGAGGAATACTTCGATGCATTTCCCAATCATGTGAGTTTAAAATTTGTATCTTTATCTCTCATGTGTATTTTAATTAATAAAGTGAATACGTACGTTTCAGTCCTCATAAATAAATGTTACATAATTGTCTATAGCAAATATTTTGATCAACATTTATTTATTTTTAAAATGGGTCCTCTATGCTTTTATCCTTATGACTATGCATATTCCAGAGTTTAATATGTAACTTCAATTGGAAAAAATTGCATTATATTTTACTTGAAATATACTATACTATTACTTCAAACTAAATCACTTACGGTGCTCAACACTCAATCACTTTTCAGCACACATCTTTTTGGTACTGTATTATAGCGACATTCTGTGGAATGCTCCATTTGGAAGAGATATATGATATTTTCACTGTCCCTGCACAGGCTCTGGATTCATTCGAACGTCCCACCATGTGGCCGCACATCGAGGAGTGCCAGCCTGAGTACCTGGAACGAATGGCCAAGGAGGGCAAGTTTGATGAAGCGCACTGAGCCCATACTGACTGCATGTGTGTTGTGGCAATATTACAAGCACTCAATACTAAAGTACATGGAGATGATACCCATAACAGAGCAGTGAAAAGTACGATCTCTGGTTTTTAAGAAATTGTGGTTGCAAATTCGATTTACACTTTTGCCTGTAATGAAGTCTTGAAATATTTCTTTTTGCTGCACACAATTCAGCTGAACCTTGAAGTAATTGATTTATTGCTTGACTGCACTTGTTCATGTTATTTATTTTGAGACACTACATTGCCTATCACACTGCTGTGTTTGTACATAAGAAAACTTCTGCTACAGCAATATGTTCTGGAAAAATTTCTATTAAACAAAATTTAAACGGAAATTTGATATCATTCTCATTCAATTTTAAATGTACCTACGGTACTGTATAGGTATTGCTGATTTTAGTCGACTGCCACTTATGCCTGTATTTGATTCCCCAATTTGCACTAACTTGTGAAATGCTTCGTGGAGGGAAAAAACTATTTTATGCTTTCCATAAATGTACAAATGTTGCAGATACAATTTTCATGGATGATTTTGATTTCTTGATATCATTTATATCAGAAAATATTCTAGTCGAATTCTCTTCTTACTGGAAACCAAGATCCTTGAATGCGTTACAGAACAACCAAACTATACCTCATGTAGGCCGTTTGAGCTGTAAGGCCACGTGTTTTCCCTACTATTTAGTATTTTTGATGTTCAGCACTATTTTGGTGATCCAGGATCAGCCATCTTGCATGTAGATTTTCTTAGAAAACATCTATGTATGGAGAATTGTGGTATTCTCAGAAACCTGGAATATCCAGGTGCATATACATGCACCTGGAAAACGTGGTGCAATTATGAAGTATACCGGAAATTCGATATAGTTACGATTTATTGCTATTTGCGTAGCGTATTCAGCTGGTTGCACAAATATTGGTGAGCTGATGTACCTGGCTATACCTACATAAAATGGTAGACGGATAATCATTTTTCCTTGATTAGTCCATTCAGGTCCGTTGTTGATTAGTAATTTTACATCAATTCATGACTTCAGGCGATTGCTTTAGGTTGGGACTTGCTCTCAAATCTTTGCTCGCGTTTATTCGATCTCATCGGTCAATGAATTTGATTCGTATCTCAGAAGCGATCTCCACCGTGAGTTTAAACGCTATTGATAATAGCAAACCATCTAGACCCAGATAGTGAGTAAATAACGGAGTATCGTAGTTACTTTGTACTTATGGTCTTTTGAGATCACAAATTTCTGCATTTTGCTTAATTGCCGCCCGAATAGTTCATGATCCAAGCATCAGAATTTCTTTAATGTAAGCTGTTCGGCGGACAGAGCCTCTACAGGAGCTTCCATGGATTGATCGTTAGATCTCGAGGCTTTATTTGCAAAAATCGTAACTGTAAAATTACATATTGAAGTCTATGATGGACGTAACTTTTCTTTGGACAGAGTTATGGCAGAAATAACTTATGTTAACAATCATCAAAGTTTATTAGTATTTAAATAGTAGAAATACATATTCCCTAAATATGTATTCTGCATTATTCAGTAAGGCAGAATATTAAACGTTGGTTTCTGCATAATTTCGTAAAAATTATCTAAGCTCAGATGTGAATGAGTAATATTAAATCTTAAATTTAATATTGGCACGTAGCAATAGCACATTGAATAACACTGGCTGCACAGTAAGAATACATAATGTTATACAAGTAATCTTGACGGGCTTATCTGTACGACCGAGTTCACCCCGATCAACAGTGATGGTAGTTAGGAGTGAAGTAAAACGTGCGCGATACTCCTGGGTCCCCGCGATACGTCCCTAGAATATACCTATTATTAGGAAGTTCCTTGTTGGTGTAGGCCATTTTATGGCTCACTCACTGGTAGTGAAAAATGAAACTTGATTTTAGATGAATTTAAGTGTCGAATCCCTCCACTGCCTAGGGCTGGAAATGTCAAAAAATAAACGTTTGAAAAATCCGAAAGGACCTCGTACATTTACTATTAATTCTTCTATAAGTTTTTTTTGTCAGACACTTGGGATATATGCCCGAAGCGGGACAAGTGAAGCCGCTGAAGCGGGATCATCACAATTAACACTTTGACTCATTCCATTAGTTTTGATTTATAATTCTCTAACGCCCTTAGAATAATTGTTCAGCATTATTAAACAAATACTCAGCAAGTTTTGATGACGATAGAAGGATTTATTCACATTCACTCGTCTTGCTCTGTCTCAATTAAGCGTATTTTTCGCTAAAATAAAGGATACAAAATAATTTTGGCCTAAAATTGAAGAAAAAAAGTTGAAACCTCTCAATATTTTACAGGCGTTCATTTGATATTTTGTGATCGATATAATAACGAATGCAAATCTCATAAATCTACAGCGATTTCAGTAACAATCTCATAAATTTACAGTGATGGTAGCAAGAACTTAGAAGCGGTAGGAGAGCGAATTATCGTAGTAGGGGAGCACACAATCGGACCTTCAACCTGTGTGGCCAGTTCTATAGCGGTCCCTCGACTAACTGAAACCATGCTAACTTTCCAAGAGTTTTTAACAAATCTAAATATAAACACAAACTTAAATTGAAACACTATAACTACAGCAGTGCTTGGTAATATTAAGTATTATATCTAAAATCAAGCTCATGAACAAAGTGTTTTTGGACACTGAGTAATCAACCTAAATGACTTCGAGATAAACACTAAATATGAACAACAGAAACAAAATTTAAAAATATGTATTCAATAATTGCTGTACCTTAAAATGGCACCAAAACTTGCGCATGAAAACGATAAAAGTTTCCAAGTGTAATGCTTGTGGTAATCACACACCTAAATGGTAATCACACACTTAGGTTTAAACCCTTTGTGTACTGACAGGACTTCTCGTTCCCAAGCTATTTGATGCAAATAACATTGACAACGCTAAGAGAATTCAGAGACAATTGATTAAGGTATGATTGAATGAGCCTTTTCTGTGCAGCAAAGAACAGCTATGTTAGCAGCAAGGAACAACAATGTCTGCAGCACAGAACAGCGACGTATGCAAGCGCAGGTCAGCGATGTTTTTGTGCCAGGAGTCTCGTGAGGGAAGGAGGCAGGGGCAGTAGTGGCACCAAATCAAGCCTCGTGTGCTGCAGGATCACGAAGCTACACAGAGACTGCAGCGGCTGCACCTGTAACATCGTGCATTTGTTACGTCTGCCTGATCATTTAAATTCTTATACTGGCCTCTTATCTATTTAAGCCTAGACCGCAATAAGTATAACGTGTAATAGAAGGGATCACACATTAACTTCTCGACTGAAGCTCTTAGTTTACAAGCAAAACACCCTGGTCGTTGTCATATTAATGACCTGCTTCTATGTTTGTTTACTGACGGTAGTTCTAGCAGACTTTTGATACGAGTAGAGTTACCTATGATTAATGAAATAATGGTGGACTAAGTGTTAATGCTTTGCCTATTGACACTTAACCCTTTCGTGGCTGACGGGACTGTGCCGTCCCACTCAATGTTTTACTCCATAAGTTGCATACAGCGTACCATTCGAGGCATAGCTTACTACAGGGACACATGAGTAACACTCCTGCGCCATGTCAACTCAAAAGTAATTGACTGCCGGGACTGTAAAGTCCCGCCCAACGATTTACTCTATAACTTGCATGTAGCGCTAAATTCAAGGCATAGCTAACTACAGGGACATATTAGAAACACTCCTGCGCCTACATATGTCCAATCTAAAGGAATATTAATATTTGTTCTTTTTGGGATATGTTATTATATAAGCTATAACGCGCGTTTGCCAAAGGAAGTTTGTGATATTATTTAACTACTAACAAAAAATATTACGAAAATGTTTTTTTATAAAAATCAGTGATGTCGCAAATTGTGTCACCTCAGTTGGAACCATATAATACCGGGATTTTCTAATGCCATTTATATAATTTTACCATTAACATATATTTAATTATTTTTTACAGACATGCAATATTCGGTCCAAGTTCATGATGATTCTGTAGAAAAATACGAATAAAAAGTTGTAGAACACATTGCCGTTACGAATGGGTTAATCTAGTTATCCACACAACAAATAGGAATATCACGAACACTAGAGTTAAATAACGTGTTCGCGCACAAAATGTTAAAGCTCTATCAACTGATCGTAACCAGTGACACAGCCTATAAATAGGAATAACATAAACGAAGGTTTTTTACCCATAAAAGGAGTATTAAAGATTAACTTTTTGTCTACCGAAGGTAACTCATGTTGCTAGGCTTTTTTATATATAGCTACAAGGATCTTCAAAGTACCTACAGACAAAGAGTTAACCCTATTCCTTAGGTCGGTAACTCTAGTTTCCAGGCCTTCTTGAATACAAATATAAATGATAACCGCTTATGAGGGCATCCGCAAACTGAGGGTTAACCTTATGTCTACTAACATTAACTCTATTTAACTGGGCTTTTTCAATGGAAATAGCTTGATGAATGGTAATGTACCGTATCCGTAGTGAAATTGGTAAAGCACCTGTGTGGCGCGGGAGAGCGGCGTGCATAGACGCACTGGGAAGCCGGGGTTGTTGCTGTTGCGGGCCTTTGAGTAGCAGAAGACGCCAGCATTGGACGATGCCACGCAAGAATCGATGAGCTCGGCCAGGGTCGGGTACCCACGATGTTCAGGGACTGGGTTGAAGCTGAACAAACCTGCGGACAATGCGGCTGGTCAGGCAGCAATATGGATTGGGATGCATGCTGTTTTTATGTGAATAAACTTTTGAATAAGTTCAATGATGATGTATTATAACTGGCTATTTTGTGACATGAATACAAAGGAATAAAATATTTTGGGATTCATTCATAAAATGGATGCAAAAAATTATTAAAAACTAATTAGTTACGCATGGTAAAAATTTTTGCTCGCTAGCATAAAATCTTATCAATTACCTATATTCTTTTTAATCCATCTACTATATAAAATGCTGTAAAAAAATTAGTTTAACTTTAATACATACCGTATTATTCAGTAAGGATATTAAGGACACATAAAAAGGAACTGAAGAATTGCTAAGAATAATATAATATAGTATAATAATATCATAATAATAGCAAAATAACCTGTGTCATCAATGAACATTAACAAAAATGTAAGTTCTCCCATCATAAGCAATGAGCATTAACAATGCTCAGGTGCTGACATTGCCATGAACATAATGAGAAGGACATAATACCATTGCTGTGCTCTATTCGGGTGTGAAAAGTCTTTCCAGACGAGCGGAAGCTGAGACTCAGCAGGTATCTGTCATCGGAGGAGTCCCGTACCAAGAACACTCCATCACTGCACTTGGAAAGCTGCTCTTCTGCTTCATGTCTGAGAGAATATAAAAAAATGAGACAATATTATTTGGCATTAAATTAAAAAACCAAATACTATTTCATCACACAAGCTTTGCCATATTAAGTGGTTTGAACCAAGAATCTCACAATGCCTTTAGCAAAGATTACACCAATCCTTTATATTTTTTCATTTAAACAGACACAGCAACAATTATTGTGCAGCTTTACAGCATCTTTCTGCAGTAACACTGTAGCAAAGCTGCCACAATGCTGAAAATTGAAAATTACTATATTTGAAAAAAATCTGCATTATAAAATGAATTGAATTGAGCCAAATGAGTTGTCAAAAATTTTATACCTTTTAATAGGTCCCCAGTACCAGTTGTGTTTTGAAATATCACTAAATTCTTGAGACCAGCTCTTGGTTGCTGCTTGTTCTTCTGGTGAAGCTTGTGAGCTTGAATGAGCACCAATGGGGTCCCTCCTGACACGCTCATGGGTGTCTAAAGTAGCTTTTTTGTAAGGAAGCACAGGTGCATCACCTGCTTCATAAGTCTCAATACAACTTCCTTCATTCCTGCTGATGTCTTCAATAATTTGTTGACTGCCATTGTTAGTTGATGGTAGAAACTTTGAAACATTTCCTTGGTGTTTTGACAAAGATTCATGAAATGGATAAACTGGATAAGTTTCTTTATGAACAGTAAGGATGCGTTTTACATTATGAATTCCATCAGCTTCAAGAAGCCCAGCATCTGTGAACTGAAATGACACAGGCCAATGATGCGATGCACATATTCCAAGAGGAGAAGATGCAGGGGAATTTAAAGCCACAGTCTGATCAGATGCAGGAAAGTTTACATCATTGTTGCTGGAATGAGAACATTGTGTAGTATATTCACTCCCATTCTTTATGACATTACTGGCAGAAACTGTACTCGTGTGTTGAATGGAAAGATGGTCTAAGCTCATGTGGCTTGATAACACTACTTCAGGAAGAGGTAGCCAGGGCTGAATAGATGAACTGTATTCACAAGCACTCTCATGTGCAGCATCATTTATTATATATCTATCATTTCTTACACTTAAGTTCTCACTCACAATTTCAAGACTGTTCTCTAAGCTGGGATTGTGAGCAACAACTAATTTTGATTCTTTTTCTTCAGAGATAACATTTTTTCCAGGCTTACTTTCATTTCTTCTATGTTCCACTGAAAAAGCATTTCTTAACTTTTCCCTCATGTTTCTCAAAACACGACTCTGAAACTTTTTCTTGTTTACAGTCATTTTTGGAACAACACTACAATTTTCCAATTGAGAATTTGGAACAACTGATGATTGTGTTTCATCCAAGCCATCATAACTCCTGATGCCATTTTCAGTGACATCTAACCCCTTGGAGAGACTGGAAACATTTTCCATATTTTCTTTAACGGGATTTCTAGATTCATTTGTATTAATTGGAAGGATTTTCAGGTTGAATTTCTTGAACATTTTTACTCGCATTAATTTTTTACTACATACAGTAATTTAGGTACACTGTGAAAACTATTAAATATTAGAAAACATTTCAATCTTTAGAAAAATTTTATTTGATAACCTACCTAATGCAAGGAAAAAGAATTAACCTTTAAAAAAATAAAAAATATAAATTTAAATGCAATAAAATAACTTAACTTACATGAAATTTATCTCTATTTTTAAAAAGAAATGTTGGATTACATATCTATCACTATCAGTTTATAACAAGAATGTTTTTGCATCCAGTGGTAAAGCTGCCTATTCATAAATCATAATATTATGTTATTTCAAAATTTATTTTGCACATATTTTTGGAGTGCACAGAACTTATACAATATTAATTAGAGGAACATGGGTATCAATATCATTGAAATCAAGTGATTAGGTATTAAAAAGTTAGAATAGTAGCACAGTAGCACCCATGGTGCAGAGGGTAGATGCAGCGTCACCAATAAATGGGTTTTCAAGCCCTAAGCGTTGCCGGGTAATTTTAAGATGCGTCCCTGGGTAATTTTTAATGAAAAGCCATTTACGCTGAGTAATGAAAAACTATTTACAAGCCACAAACTTATTTACAAGGTTGCATGCACGTGTTAATCCAAATAACTAATTTTACCCTAAAAACAGCATGATTGTACAGCAAGTGTCAACTGAACTGTGATAATGCAGTCTGACCACTCTAATGTGACCGCAACTACGTAATCGTGAACTTGATGTTTACATTTTTTTGGTGGGAACTCATCGCAACTGATTTCCGGACAAGCTTCACTGCATACTGATCAATCCAACATACCGGAAACCTTACTTTTTCAAATAGTTGGCCCTTGGCCAAAGACTGACAAATATATATTCAATGAAAGAATTTCAATCTAAATGTGTCGGCAAGATCTTCTGAAGGTATAAATTTTGCTACTGAAGCGTCGCCAAAGATCTTGCAATATTCATCCACTCTCTGCAAGACTGCACAGTGGATTGTAGCACTACTGGTCACCTAATGGCTAATGGACTCAAATGGAGAAGAATTCAGATACATTTTAGAGAAGCACATAGCTTTGTTAGCTTTTGTATACTGTATAGTGAATAGGAGCTTCATACTTGTTATTGTTACAACTTACAAGAATAATCTTGTAGTTGTGGCTCTTAAGAGCCACAAGATATGAATCATATGATAGGATTAGAGCCACAATATTTCAGAAATAGTAGGACTTTTCCCAACTATATCATCAATCATCATGCACATTGCACATTTATATCCACATCCTTGACAGATGACATTTTTGTTTACTGTGGTTGTGGTGTGTGGTCTCATTCAGTCTCAGACTCAGAGCCCACTCCTAAAGTCTAAACCAGTGCCTCCATGCTATTACTGCCTCCACAACAGGCACAACTGGGGACATTGTTTCATTTGCTTGTCCTATTTGAGAACTGGATCTGTGAGAGTGTGACTCAAAATGGTCATTTACTACCTGATCTCGAAGCAACCCTGACATGGGTAATTAATAATTGGCTGAGTCGCTGAGAGTCTGAGACATGTCAGAACTCTAAGTAACAGTCTGACTCTGACTGCAGACTGACGACTCTGTCTCGTCATCAGTCGATTCAGATGAATCAGAATGACTATTGTTTTTTTCTACGTTTTCTTAACTAGATCAAGAGAGCAATAGGTAATGGTCAAATGCAGACGCCCAATTGTGACTTTATTTTTGTTGTGGTTGACTGGTTGTTGTTGTTTAGTGATTGTTTTGTTTGTTTGATGCTTATTGGAGCTTTGGAGACGCATCCATGTAGCTCCACGTCTGCAGGGGGATTTGGCTGTTCCAGAAGTCTCAGTATCCCACGTTTGCACAGGAATTTAGTCCGTGCAGAAGTCCCAGCAACTGTGTGCACATGAAAAATATCATTAGTATACAGGATCATAAACATTGTATCAATTGATCAACTAGAGCTCACATAATTGGGGTGTAAATTTCAGTATCATGTTCAGGGAAATAATTTACTGAAGGCAGATCAGGGTACAAATGTGTTTCAAAATAAAGTGACATTTATTTGTTAAGAATTGCTAGCAATTTGCTCTTCTAAAACAAAGGACTACATTA